GCTCAGTCTTAAGTGGGGGTACTCCTTTGTAGGTTACTGTTTGTTTTTCTGCTTTCTTATCTTTGGTTTTGGAAAGTTTGATTATGATATTATATATGGTGATTTTCTTTTGGGATCTATCCTGTTGGGGGTTCGTTCAGCTTCTTGTATGCTTGCTTATCTTCTCGTCTTTCATGATGTTAGGGAAGTTTCATCTAACAACTCTTTGACAGTTTTCTCTGTGCTTTTTTACTGTCCCTTCCTGTTCTAGAATTCCAATCACCCCATAAGTTGTTCCTCTTCCTGGTGTCCCGCGTGAAGGCTCTCTTTAATTTTTTCATTCTTTTTTCAGGACTAGTACTGAGAGACTTATCTTTAAGCTCAGTAATTCGGGTGTTCGTTGCTTTGAATCTTCTCCTTTGCCCTTTCAGTGTATTCTCCATTTCTGAAATTTTAGTGTTAATTGTCTGGATTTATAGTCACAGGCTTTGTATTAAGTCAAAATTTGCATTTATTTTGTCTGTTTATTCTTGTAGCATTTTTCTGAATTCTTCTGAACTTTTTCTGTGTTCTCCTTGCTTTACTTGATCTGTCAGTCCACTGAAGGTACCAAAATACCTTTCTTTTGAATTCTTTTTCAGTTAATTCCATTGCCTTTTTTTCCCCCTCAGAAATGTTTTCTGTCTCTGCATCTTGATCATTTGTAAGAGCCATTCTGTCTTGTTTATTTGTGTGAACTAAAATTGTCTGTTGTCTCCAGGGCATTGTGGGATTGTCATATTTGTAAAAAACAAATACAGCAGGTTTGGATTCAGTTGTTGTTGTTAAGTGTTGTCGAGTTGATTGCAACCCATAGCGATCCTGTATAGGGTTTCCAAGGAGCAGCTGGTGAGCTTGAACCACCGACCTTGCAGTTCAAACGACTTTGCAGTCTGATGCCTTAGCCCACAGTGCCATGCAATTCAAGGAGCTCATGAGGTTGTTGTAGAAGGGGTGTGACAGCAAAGGTCCTGGTCTTAGATGGATATCTGTTGGCCTCGGTGTTGTCTATGTTCAGGGACTCAATCCAGTGGTTGATGGGGGCACTTGAAGGAGCTGGTTTCAATGTCTGTTAGGAGGACCACTGGGAGGCTGAGGGCAGGTTGACAGGTTAAATGCTCTCTGATGGCTCTGTGGGTTTTGTAGGTCTGAAGCTGAGCCCACCTAAATCCAGGCACCAAAGCAGCACACCAGAGCCATGTGGCCGGCCCTTGACTCACACTGGTGGGGCTCCCACAACGTGGCACTGAACTCCTGGGGAGAGGTGTCTGCTCTGGGGGTGGATGAGGGTGGGAGTTGGTCACCCCTCTAGTCACCAGGGGAGTGTGCGGAAAACACAGAAAGAGCACCTATCCCATCGCCCTCGTGAATCTGCTCTTCCAGGTCTCCCCCCACGGCCAGAGCTGCTCACAAGATGACAGAGCTGTGTCTGTCCCCAGCCGGTCCCCAGTCAGCCTCTCCTCCCAGCAAGCACTCCATCCACCTTGGGCCAGAATGTTCCTCTGTGTCTGTTTTATTTGGTTTCTCATCTCTTTGTTATAGAGAGTCTCTGCCATGAGTCTTCATAACTAGTCATCTTGCCCCAAGTCATTTCTTTGTTTTATTAACTCAGCAAATATATTTGACTGTGTGAATCATAGGAAACTATGGATAACATCGCAAAGAATGGGTGTCCCAGAACACATGACTGTGCTCATGAGGAACTGGTACATATACAGAGGCAGTCATTGGAATAGAAAAAGGGGATACCAAATAGGTAAACATCAGGACAGTTATGCGGCAGGGTTGTCTCCTCTCACTGTACTTATTCAACCTCTGTGGAGTCCTGGTGTGCGCTGTGGGTTCATGCGCCAGACTGCAAAGCCATTTGAACCGCAAGGTTGGTGATTCAAACTCACCAGCTGCTCCTCGGAAACCCTATACAGGGTCGCTGTGGGTTGGAATCAACTCGATGACACTTAACATTCAATCTGTATGCTCAGCAGATAGTCCGAGAAGCTGGACTATATGAAGAAGAATGTGGCATCAGGATTGGAGGAAGACTCATTAGCAACCTGCAATGTGCAGGTAGTATCTATCATCTTGCTTGCTGAAAATGAAAAGGACTTAAAATACTTACTGATGAAGATCACAGACTACAACCTTCAGTATGGATTGCACTTCTATGTAAAGAAAGCAGAAATCCTCACCACTGATTGTGCTTGGATCTACGATCAACACATAAAAGCAGCAGTCAAGAAATCAAACAACGTATTGCATTAGGCAGGTCTGCTACACAAGACCTCTTTAAAGTGTTCAAGAGTCAAGTTGTCAGTTTGAGGACTAAGCTGTGCCTGATCCAAGTCATGGTATTTTCAGCTCTGGTAGCATAGTGGTTATGAGTTGGGCTCAATCTCCAGGTCAACAGTTCAAAACTACCAGCTTTTCCCCTGGAGAAAGATGAAGCTTTCTGTTCCCGTAAAGATTTACAGCCTCGGAAACCCAATGTGGGGTCACTATGAGTCACCACCGCCACCACCACCACCACCACCACCATACACACGTGAAAGTTGGACGTTGAATAAGACCATAGAAACATTGATACATTTGAATTCTGGTGTGGTGGTGGTATTATGTGTTATGGAGTCGGTTCCAACTCAAAGCAACTCTGTACATTTTTATGGGAGCAAAAAACCTCATCTTCTCCTGACAAATGACTGCTTCATTCAAACAGCTGTCCTTGAGCGTAGCAGCCCCGCTCACAATCCACTACACTGTCAGGTGTCCTTGCGGTAGGGTGTGAACCAAGAATATTAAGGAGCATGCACTGTCAGAAGAACAAAGCGATCTATCTTAGACGAAGTACAGCCAGAATGCTCCTTAGAAGCCAGAATGGTGAGACTTCTCTATTGTACTTGGGCATGTTGTCAGGAGGAACCAGCCCCAGAGAAGGACATCAAGAAAGAGGAAGACCCCCAAGGAGCCAGATTGACGCAGTGACAAGAGTGGGTTCAAGCATATTGGCAGCTGTGAGGATGGCGCAGACCCTGGTAGTATTTCCTTCTGGTGTGCGCAGGGTCGCCGTCAGTCAGAACGATTCAGCACCTAATGGCAATAACTATAGGCTTGTCCCAGGCCGGCTTCCTGCTGCCCTCCGTTCCTCTTACATAAAGCGCCCCTTGCTAGCCTGAGCTGGACCTCAGAACCGTCTCTCCCCAGCTTCTGTGGCCCACTGTCTAGCTATAAAACTTGTGTTGCTGTGTGTCCCTGTATTCATTTTATTGATGTGTGTGTGTGTGTGTGTGTGTGAGTCTCCCTCACTAGAACTTAAGCTTCTAGAGAGTGGGAGGTCTTGGTGCTCCGTTCATTTTCGTAGCCCTAGGACAAGAGCCACACACTATTAGGTAGTCTGTACGTGTATGTCCATACGATGACTTCCGGCCTCCTTCAGAACCCGGGCTCTTCCAGGGACAGGGCCCTCTGCCTCCTCGGGCTCGGCGCCTCTCGCCCTCAGGCCTGCCTCAGCGCCTTCTGCCTGGGCACCTGCAGAGCTCATTCCCTGCTTCCATCTGTCACAGGGCTGCAGGGAACACTGCGTGGACACGCTGCTGTTCATCAGGGCATGCTCCCGACTTGCTTCTCCCTCTTAGTGACCTTGTAAGGCAGTAGAACTGCCCCGTAGAGTTTCCTAGACTCCCGTGTTTATAGGTGCGGATGGACAGGTCTTTTCTCCTGAGGAGCCTGCCAGGCTCCAGCCTCACCGTTCAGTCAGCAGCCAGCGCTCAGTCACTGTGCCCCCAGCACTCCTACTCTGCTGCCTGTTGTGGAGCGCTGTCGATTGGTTCCAACTCTTAGCAACCCTTGTATACGGTTTCTGAGAGCAGCTGCTGAGTTTGAACTGCTTACTTTGTAGTTAACAGTCCAGTGCTTACTCAGTGGTTATTGTGTCGCTTCTGACCCTTAGCAATCCTGTATAGGGTTCCCAAGAGCCACCGTTGGGTTTAGTACTTATCTTACAGCACCACATTAGGGCTGCTGCGGGTGTGTGCTGGCAAGTCTGTTTCAACTCTTAGAAACCTATTTATGGTTTCTAAGGCTGTAGACCTTTACTGGAGCAGAAAACCTCAGCTTTCTCCCTCGGTGCAGCTGGTGGGTTTGAACTGATGACCTGCGGTTAGCAGCCCAAAGCATGACCCACTGTGCTACCAGAGACTGTTACAGCAGGGCTCGTAGTGGTCGTTGATTCTAACTTGAATCTTGGTTCCCAGTTGTCCTTTGAATTTAGTGTCCTCAGTGAATATTGATTTGATGTGGGCCAGTTGCTTGTTTTGAGGTCCTGGGTGGCACTAAAGTAAAGCTCCACTACTAACGCAAAGGTTGGAGGTTCAGGTCCACCCAGAGCTTCCTCAGAAGAAAAGTGTTTCTGAAAAAGCAGCCGCTGACAAGCCTCTTGGGCACAGTTGGATCTGTAGAGATGAGGTTAGCATGCGCTGTACTCGACTGGAGCTGGCCTGTGTGGTTGGGTTTAGAGTCTTCAATGAAGGGTGGGCGGGCGTCTCAGTAGACACGGGCGTACACGCTAGTCGTATCCTAGAGCTGCCCTGCCAGCTCACTCGTCACACTCGCCATGTGTCATTGTGCCTGGTGACTGCAAGCCTCCAGAGTGCAGGGAGGAGCGTTTCCATCACACTCAGAACCACCCTCCACGGCCGAGCAGACTGCTCTGCTCCTTAGGGCTTCTGAGACAGACCGCCACCTCGTCTTCCTCCTGTGATACAGCCCTGGATTTGAACTGCCAACCTTGTGGTTAGCAGCTGCGCTCTAATCCACTGCCACTGGGCTCAGTGCTTCTCTAGAGGCCTGGCAGACAGTGACCTGTGTCAGTGGTTCCTGTGAAGGGGAGTCACCGCCGTGCACCTCAGTGCCCTGTGGGCTTCGTGGTCTACCCTTCAGAGTCACTGTTGTGCGCATTCTTGCTGCAGGTCCCTGGTGGTCGGTCTAGCATGGACCCTGTTGCCACGCACAGCTGCCATCTCCTTCAGCAGTTGCAGGAGCAGCGGATCCAGGGCCTGCTGTGTGACTGCATGCTGGTGGTCAGAGGGGTGTGCTTCAAGGCCCACAAGAACGTGCTGGCCGCCTTCAGCCAGTACTTCAGGTACGTCGTTCCGGGGCTCTGTGTGGGGCAAGCAGCCACCAAGTGTCCTGCTGGATTCCTTTGCTGGTGAACTGAGACTTCGCTTCCCATCAGAACCAGGGAGATCTCTTTTTTTAAAAAAACAACTTTGTTCCCCAAATGCATCCCCTGCTCCCTGCCCTGCTCTGCCCTATACAATCCGACTACACTCGATCAGACATCTCCCACAAACTCGTGAGATCAGTGTGCTCTCTGTCCACAGCTCCCCTCCCCTGCCTGTCAACTGACAGGAAAGGACACTCAGGTGGGCCACACCTTCACCTTTCTGGTCTGATTCACAGGGCTCGTCTCACTGAACAAGCCAACCGCCAGTAAAATTACTGATGACAAAAGTGTGTAGCACCCGGGGCTGGTTTATTAAAGCATTGGTATTTTTGGAAATGTTTAAGGCACATCACTATGGAGATGGTTGTATGTGTGCATGTGTGGGTGTGTGAGTTTCACGCCTGAAAGAGATACGCGGTCAGATTACACATGAAGTCGGGAAAAGCTGGCTGGCACCCTTTATTTTTCTATACTCTTAGTATGTAATGAATGATGCATTCGGATACTTGCATTTAGAAACCAATCTGAAGACACAATGGTCTTGTGTGTGTTGAATAGAGTGTATTGGGAATTATTGGAACGCCTTGATTTGTGATTTGTCTGCTATATTATTATGCATTGTTGGTTTAATCTGTAAACTTAATGAGTTTCTTTCACAATTTTACTCAGATCAATTTGGAAGTTTGGGTATCCTAGCAACTCAGTCTAATTCATCTGAATTGCTGCATTCACATGACTTGCCAACCTTGTTTTTGAGGATTACTGAATTTTAAGCCGTTGGCACTTCCAGAAGGAACCTGCACGTGATGTAAAAGCGTACATTATGAGTATTATGACGTTGTGACGCTGTGAACCCTCTCCTTTCTTTTGTCAGGTGCCTCTTTCAGAACTCTTCAGGCCAGAAGAATGATGTTTTTCACTTGGATATTAAAAACGTCAGCGGCATAGGGCAGATCCTGGACTTCATGTACACCTCGCGTCTCGATCTCACCCAGGACAACGTACAAGTCATGGCGGACGTCGCGCAGTGTCTACAGGTTCACAATGTTCTGCATCTGTGCCATACCTTCTTACAATCCGCGGTGGCTGACGAGCCTGCCGCCCTGCCTTGTGGTAGCGCATTCTCCCTGCAGAAAGCGCCGGCTCCTGATGATGCTAACTGTGTCGTCACCGAGAGTTACACTGCTCACCTGTCGCACGAGTGCCCACCAGACGCAGAGCCCAGGATAGCTCTGGATGAGCCGCCTCCTCACCAGCCCGCATCTGGTAATCTTCAGAATTCCACAGATGAAATACCAGAGGCCCCAGAGTCTTTAGACAGCAGCTGCCCAGAACTGCCTCTGAAGCAGCCAAATTACTACTACAAACTCCGAAACTTGTACAGTAAGCAGTACTACAAGCAGGCTCCTTGTCCCAGTCATGAGAAGATAACTGAGCAGCCCTTCCCCTTCAGCACACCCACGGACCCTAATGCAGCACGGAGCCCACCCTGTGCCGTCAGTCATCCCGAATGCGTCCTCGAATCTTCCGAACACCTGCCGTCCAACTTCTTGGCCCAGCCTCTGAGCAACTCGGCCCCAGACCCTGAACCTGACAGTGCCTGCCCCCAGCCTCCCAAACCAATGAGGCTGAAAAAGGCCGTCCACCTTAAGAAGCTCAACTTCCTCAAGTCACAGAAATCTGCAGAGCAAGCCTCCGCTCCCAAATCAGACAAGGACGTAGCAGAGAGGCTGGGATCTGCTAACGAAAACACCACAGAGCAAGCCAGCAGCCAAAGTCCCCAAGAGAAGGAGAGCGAAGAACTGGTCAGTTTGGAGAATTTTGGCTGCGTGAGTGAAGCAGAAAGGCCCGAAGACCCAGCCACGCTGGAAGACCCATCACAGACCCTTCAGTCCCAGAGACAGTACACCTGTGAACTGTGTGGGAAGCCCTTTAAACACCCGAGCAATCTGGAGCTTCACAAACGGTCTCATACAGGTACACTGATGCCATTCTCGCGGGCAGAAGGGGAGGAAGCAGCCCCGCCCGGTCCAGACGCCACTGCCTGCTCCGTTTTTGTAAGAAGCTCTGCTATCGCTTGATGATGTCTAATGTTTCCACAGAACCAAGGGACAGTCAGCTACTTGTCATTTCTAGTTTTGATGGCGCAGGACAGTCAAGTTCTGTAAATGGTTTGTGGAGCCAGTTTGGAAAAAAGACAGGCTTTTTGTTTTATTTTTATTTTGGTTTTCCGGGGTAAACTTTCTTCAAGTTATTTTGATGCACATAGATTTTCAAGTTCGTGCTTAAAGCTGATCTGTTATACTTAGTTATAAGTTGTGTGTTTAGAATTAGAATACACTTCTGTTTGTGAAACGTTGCTGTTGTTAGCGGCCAGTGAGTGGATCAGGCTTACGGCACCCACGTGCGCAGAGTGACGGCACCATTGAGTTTGTTGGTTTTGTTTTTCTAAGGTTTTTATTGTGGATTAAGTGAAAGTTTACAGGGCAGATCATCAGTTTTACATTCAACAAAGCATACACCTTGTTTCATGACAGTGATTACAATCACGATTGAGTGTTGAATGCGGTCTTCTGCATTGGCTCTGCCTGTGGAGTGTTTAACTGTTTACACAATCCGGGAACTCCTTTATAACACGTTGTTGTTGTTAAGTGCCGTTGAGTCAGTTCCAACTCATAGCAACCCTGTATAGGGTTTCCAAGGAGTGGCTGGTGAGCTTGAACCCTGACCTTGTGGTTCAAACTGACTTTGCAGTCCAGCTCATTAACCCGCAGTGCCACGTTGTTGTTGTTAAGTGCCATCGAGTCGGTTCCAATCCATAGTGACCCTAAACAGGGTTTCCAAGGCTGTAAATCTTTACGGGAGCAGAAAGCCTCATCTTTCTCCCTCAGAGCAGCTGGTAGTTTTGAACTGCTGACCTTGGGATTCGCAGCCCGATTCGTAACCACTACGCTACCAGTGCCACATAACATAGATTAATTCAGACTAAAATCATTTCTTTGAGCCATTCTAAAAGTTCTCACAGGTAATTAGTATATCTCATTTTTAAATACTTCTGATTAAAATTTAAACCTTTTATTAAGGATCACCTTTTAACTCTTCAATATTTTCAAATGCAAATTCTATTTTGAATATTGAAGTTTCAAAGTTTTATTACCTTAATCCATTCTGCCTCTTTCCCCAAAAGTTGGTGGTTGTTGTTTTTTTATTAATGGAGCCCGGTGGTGCAGTCATTAAGCACTCACCTTTTAACAGAGGGGTCGATGGTTTGAACCCACCGGCCGCTTCCCCGGAAGAAGATGAATCAGTCTGCTTAGGGACAGACTGCAGCCCTGGGGACCCCATGGGGCAGTTCTGCCCAGTCTTGCCGGGTCGCCGTGAGTGAGTTGGATAGCCTCAGCAGCAGTGGGTTTGCTGGGAATTTTTTGCGTATTGTATGTATATAGGACTTTCCTTCCTACAAGTGAAGTTATACTTTACAGCTTCCAAAATAGCGGCTTTCGAGGAACCCGTGTTGTTGGCTGTGTTGATGTGATGTTGTCGTCTCACTCTGGAGTCCCAGTCTGGGTGTCACCACCTCATTGTGTTGTTGTGAAGAAGCCCCTTGGACACTTGCCTTCATCTGAGTGTCCATGAAAATCATTGTTACTACTAGCAATTCAGACGTCCGCCACATGCAGGCAGGGTCACTGTCTCTGCCTTACCCTGGAAAACCTTAACGGGGGTCTTCTTGTTAGCTGAAATTTGCCAGGGCCCGCTGATCACTCTCATTTCATTTGGGGAACTTAGTGAATTCGCTTTGGAAGAAACAAAAATGAAATGGTTTATCCTGAGAGGACATGTTTGAATGACTCTAGGCAAATGGCAGCTTTGCTTACTGACACATAAAATGCTATAGTGAGAAGCGTATCGGTTCTCAAAGTGTGGGCTGCGGAACCCTGAAGTCCCCAAGGCCCTGTTGAGGGGCCCACAAGACCAGAACTTTGTCCAGAGATGCCTAACCTCCTCCTGAGTTTGTGGGGTTGCCCAGGCCTCCGTGCTGTGTCATGAGGTGCCAGCCAGGGGGTGCTGGTGTCCCTGGTGGGTGTGGAGAGAGAAAATCCACCTAAACAAAACTTCCTGAGGGTGCTCAATTTCTCAGGGTGTTCTGGGGTCCCCAGACACTGGAGTCGTGGAACGTGACCCCTCTTGTCAAACTCCTGTGTCTCATACAGCTTTAGTTTCTCGTCTTTGACCCCCAACTATAGACATAATGTGATCGTAATTATCAAGGGTCAAAAACTCCCTTCTTTTGACAAAGCTATTAAACATTTTCCAGAAAAGATAAGAAAAATTTCTTAGCATGAACCCAGAAAGCTTGACAAAGTGGATTCTTGAAGGTCACAAGCCGCACAGAACTATCCCAGGAGGTTCCGTAGTAGAGAAGTAACCCGCACAGAACTATCCCAGGAGGTTCCGTAGTAGAGAAGTGACCTGTTGGCACACAAAACGCAGGTTGTTAGTGAGGGTTCCTCTAGGAACCCACCTATGTGAGCTGAAAAGATCAGCAGTTAACCCCAGAGTGCTAACGTCCCTGAACAACTTGTGTGGACGTTGTCAAATGGGAGTCTAATTTACTGTGTGAACTTTCACTGAAAACAAATGGTAGCACGCCCCAGCAATACAGAGGAAGGGATCTTGATGAAAGCACTGGGTTTTCCAGCAATGGGAAAAGGGTCCCAGTGTGTCCAATAGGACTTGGTGGTGGGCACAGGCAGACTTCCAGGTACTGAATATGGAGCCTCTTCTGGTGACGAGAACCAGAAGAGCTGTTGTTCTCGCTAGCTGTTTACTGTTCTCCACTGAAAGGGGATGATCAAGTCATTAAAATCAGAGGTGACCTGGAAATCAGCTGCGGGTCTCAGCTCCCCTACAAAATCTGTCTTCCCCAGTGAGCGTTTCTGAACCCAGGTCAGAATGGGGAGGATATCTGTCATGCATCACTAATTCAGGAGGTTCCGCTCTTCCGCGTTCCCATCATGCGTGGTCTCAGTGAGTTCACCTATAAAAAAAAAGACGGCTCCACACATTTCTCCCATTCTTCCAGGTGGGCTCCGTGACTCAGTGCAGTGACCGCGCAGAACTCGGCATACTCAGTTACGGGGTTTAGTAGGGAGTTCTGTTAAGTGCTGTCCAGTGTCGGGTTTCCGAGGAGCATCTGGTGAGCTTGAACTGCTGACCTTGCATTCCAGTACATTAGCCCACAGTGCCACCGGAGGACTCCAGTAGGGAACCTCACAGATTACTTTTCAGGGGCAGAAATGCGCAGGGTCCAGCTGTTCCGGTCAGGATCGGCCTCTGCCCGGTCAGTGTTAGTTACAAAGTTCTTTCAGGGCTGCTGCTGAATGCCCCCCGGGGTACACCACTCCAACTTGGGCCTCAGCAAACCTAGCCCCTGACTTAAGTGCTTGGAGGCACCCCACTCTGCTAGCAAGCCTCCCGTCCAAAGTCACTCAGCTGGACTTGCTCCACGGGCTGAGAAGCCCACCACTCGGTCTGCCGCAGCTCCTGTGAAACTCTCCGGTCTCTGGATGAGGAGGTTCAGGGCGCAGGTACCTCAGGGTCCAAAGGATGCGCTCCACTCCTGACGACTCCTCTTTGACGGTAGTGAGATAGCCCCATTCCTGCTTCTGAGATTAGAGTTCTAGGTTTATACAATGACAGGAACCCTGGCAATCTTCTCCCACCACCCCTTCTACCCACCCAGACCCAGCGGGGCAAAAATGTTGTTTGTTGGGAGTTTCCAAAGACCAGATGAAATAACGTACTGTCCCACGCCCCCCATTCCTGTTAGAAATCAACCTTAAACTGAAGAGTCAGGCTGAGGCACAAGGAGAACAAGGTTCATGCTGTTCAGTAGAAAAGCTTATGTTTGCTGCCCACCACTTGGGTGCGGTTTTAAGTCACAGACGTGGGGCCGCAGCAGAGGTGCCTGTTGGGGGACCAGTTTAATTTTGGAGAGAGGGAAGCATCAGGCAGCCGGGCGCCCCATTTTCAGACTCTGCTGGAACAGGATGGGACGCTGTGCTTCTGCGCGGTCAGACCCAGGAGGGCAGCACTAGGAAGCAGAGGGGACTGCAGATACTGCTGATGACCTGACCAGTTGTGTTTTGCTTTGTTCTGTTTCAGGTGAGAAACCTTTTGAATGTAACATTTGTGGGAAACGTTTCTCTCAGGTGGGAATACCCTTCTTTCCTCCTCCTAATTAGGACCCCGAAGCCCAGTGTTGCTTTTGATGGCCCCATGAAACGTGCTTTCCGACTCGGTCAGAGACCTGTTGAAGTGAAAACAAAAACCAGGAGAAAGTGATTCTCAAGGAAACAGATTTCTAGCTCGCCGGGGGTGGGAGTAGGGAGGCGGATAGCATTCTCTGGTGTGTGAGACTGCTCACCATGCCTTTTGGCTTTGTTGTGAAGGAGGGATGCGTCCAGTCAAGTGTCCGCCTTCTTTTTCGAGAGTCAAGCTCCAAGTGAAACAAGTGGTGCAGATTGTGCTGGCTGAGGCCCAAGGCCAGGAGCCTTGGTGGCACTGCAGTTAAGTGCTTGGCCACTAACCAAAGGTCAGCAGTTCAAACCCACGACCACTCCCCAGAAGAAAGATGTGGCGATCTACTTCCGTAAAGATTGACAACCTTGGAAACCCCATGGGGCAGTTGTCTGTCTTGCTGAGTCGCTGTGAGTCACATTGACTCCATGGCAGTGGCTTAGGTCTACGACAACTACCCTGCTAACTTGTATCAGCACTTTAGATTTTAGGAAGCCATTTTCATTCCTTGCTACATCAGTTAAGCTTGCTTGGACACATAGTCATTCTCTTATCCAACAATCATCGGAGGTACCCTACCAGGGGCCATGTGCCATGACAGACAACTGCCATGAAGAAAGCTAGAATGTCCACATTTTACTGAGACTCTCAGATGTGACTGAATGGCTGGTGGGAACCTGCAATGGTTGTTCCCGCGTGTGCTGGGCGCGGGGATTCCGGAGCTTGGTGCCACGAGCTGCTCGCAGGAAGCGCATTCTGCCTGTACATCCTATGGCAACAGCACGTGCTGTGTAACATAGTGGTGACTCTGGCCTTGACCCAGGAGGAACCGGACACTGTTGAGTTGTCTCCGGCTCACGGCGGTCCTGCGTGTGGCCCCACAGGACATTCCTGGTCAGGACGTTTCCGAAGTCAGTCTCCAGGTCTTTTCTTTCAAGGCTCCAGCTGTCTGCCTTTGCGCCTCCCAGCGATGCAGGGATGAGAAGTTTCATGCACAGCCCCCGCTCTCCCACCTTCCCTTCATCTGTCCAGTTTTCCCAGGCACCAAGCCTGTCTTCTGTCTGGTTCTCACTGTTCTCGCCAGAGGCTGCAGCCCGGGCTCAAAGCCGGCAGTGGCCAAGGCCGTGTGTCACTCTGTTGTGTGTGGGTTAGGACTTGGAGCAGACTCAGCTGCCCCAGCCACCACCAGCACAACTGGTCGTCTTCTGCACTATCAGCCCTGTCTAGGGACCAGGGCCACGTCTCACGTCTCCCTAAAACCCCTAGCACCTCTTGGCTGCCCAGAAAGTACTTGATGAACGGTTGGGCGATCAGGCCCCGCCATCATTCTGGATAAGGCACCTGCTGTTTCAGCCCAGCCACGTCCGACCTTCAGAGCCCGGGTGCTGGGGCCAGACCTCACCTCGGGGGGCTTCTGACTCCTCACCTATCAGACAAGGACAGTTGACCACACAGTGCAGTGGGCACACACCACTTCATGGCGCTTCCCAGACACTGAATTTTCTTTACAAATAGAAGGTTTGTGGCCAGCGTACATGGAACAAGTCTGTGGGCACCATTTTCCCAATAGCACGTGCCCACTTGGTGTCTCTGTGCCTCCTTTCGGTCATTCTCACATGACTTCAGACTTTTTCATCATGTTATTGCTTCGTAAGCTACAGTCTAGTGTCAGCGTCGCTTTTATAACGCTGGGAAAGCACAGCGATCATGCGGCTCGCTATATCGCAGCCCTGGCTGTGTGGCGCAGCTCTGGAACTGAACCTGCAGCGTCTCCGCCATCCGCCTGTACTCAGGACAGTGCCCGGCCCATGTGAGAGCTCAGGACGCAGGGTCGTTCCCTGTCCTGTCCTGATTTCTTCATCCTTAGCTCTACTGCCTTCTGCTGGCTTCCTGGGGCCCGGCTCAGGCGTGGGGTCCACACTGAACCTTCTCATCAGACTCTGGTTGCCACTGCAGAGATTCTAATCCTAGCAGCGGGGGGGAGTCTCAAGAATTAGTATTTTTTTAAAGACCTTGATTTTGGCATGCCAGGCAGATACTAACTACCAATCTCCTCCCCTCCATTCTGCCTGTCAGCATCGCTTTCTTTTTTGTTAGAGGTTCAGGAGTGGACACTTAAGGTCTTCAGGCATGGCCGGGTGTCTGGTTCTCATAGTGAATGAGAGGACCTTCCTTGTTTCACCCTCATTCCGCGAGTACTTGTTGTGAGCACACTGTGTCCAAGGGACTCTGTCCTGTGCTGGTCTCAGACAAGGAGGGCGGTGAGCCCTGGGCAGACAGGAGAGAGTGGTTCTTTGTCCATGAAAGGTGTGGTGCAGATGGTCAGAGAGTCACTCCCGACCAGCGGAGAGCAGCAGGTGGGTCCAGTTGGCATCCGAGTGCTTAGCCACTGTGCCACAGCGGTTCCTTGGCATGTTGTGGTTAAGCACTGTCGAGTCGGTTCCAAGTTTTTGTTAGGTGCCAAACTGACCTTGCAGTCCAGTGCGTTATCCTGGAGCACCATACCTGTAGTCCTTAAGAAGTGGCAGCCATTACTATGATTACTGCTCTGTGCTCCAGTTTCCCTGACCAGCTGCACGTCATTTCTAGGATGTGACGTGTGCACTTAAGATATATAATTAGTACTATTATTTTTAAATGCTGTCAAGTTGGTTTTGACTCATCTGTCTTGTATAGGGTTTCTGAGGCTGTAAATCCTTTGCAGGAGCAGAAAGCCTTGTCTTTCTCCAGTGGAGCAGCTGGTGGGCTTGAACCACTAATGTTGTGATTTGCAATCCAGTGTTTATCCTACACAGCCACTGCACTCCTATAATTGGTACTTGTCAAGTGCCATCTAGTTGGTTCCAACCCATAGCCACCCAGTATAGAGTTTCCAAGGCTTTAAATTTTCCCTGGAACAGAAAGCCTCATCTTTCTCCTGCAGTCGGCTGGTGGGCTCAAACCGGGGACCTCCTTCACAGTCCAGTGTTTAATGTATTGAGCCACCTGCTCCCATAATTAGTACTGTTGTTGTTGTTAGGTACCATCGAGTCGGTACCAACTCATAGCGACCCAGTGCACAACAGAACGAAATACTGCCCAGTCCTGGGACAACCTCACCATTGGTGCCACACTTGAGCCCATTGATGCTGCCACTTTGCCAATCCATCTCACTGGGGGTCTTCCTCTTTTTCTCTGACCCTCCACCTTACCAAA